GAACAACGAAAACACAACAACCAGTGTATTAGTTGTAACTCTCATTAACTGGGAAATCCTGGGACTCCTACAGTGTTGCCAAGTAAACCTTCAGCATGGCTTGTAAGTAGAGACGGCTGTGTGTCTACCTTTTTGTGGTAGAATAAAAAAAATGCCGTATATGTTTTAAGTGTATTAGCATCTAGCAAGGAGGAGTTAGATATATTTAAATGAATTGGAAACGGTATTGACAAAAGAGTATTGTATGAAAATAAATAAAAGTAAAACAAAAATACTAGTATGCAAGGGAATATAAAGTAGGGAAATACTAAATATAAAGATAGGAGACAAAAAATTAGAGGAAGTGGCTGATTTTAAGTATCTAGGAAGTCAGATAAGTCAGGACGGAAGGAGTAGTAGGGATATAAAGCAGAGGATAGCGCAGGGTCGAGTCGTCTTCAATAAAAGAAAGTCACTTGTGTGTTTGCTAACGGTTAATTGGAAATTCGAAAATGATTGTTAAAGGTTTAAAATGTGATGTTACAGGCGAATGATGAGGATACCGTGGATAGAGCAAGTTAGAAATGAAGAAGTATTAGAAAAAATAGGAGAACACAGGTCTCTTTGGAAATCAATAAAAAATAGGCGAGATAGGTTGATAGCACACCTTCTCAGGCATGAAGGTCTAGTCAAAGACATATTAGAGGCAGTTAGGAGGGGTAGAAGTAGACCTAGATTAGATTACTATTCGCACATAGTTAAAGATGTGGGTTGTTCTAGTTTTAGGGTTTTAGCTCAGTGTAGTGAAAGAGTGGAGGTGCGTATCCAACCAGTCATAGGACTAAGGACCTCATGATGATGATGATGATATGCTGCATACGGATGTAGCGAAGTACAAATAAATATGCTGTATTTTTTTATTCATATTGTCATCTATACAGTGATCTGTGCATTAATAACTAACAAATACTGTAGCAAATACTCAGGTTTCCACTAATTTTAGTATAATAGTTACTAATGGACTTTATCGATTTTTACAGCAGTAACAATCAGATTTAGATAGAAATTATTGTCCGATTATTCATTAAAATTATTTCATTACAGTATACATATAGAAACTCAAAATCTAAAATACTTTCAAGGAAATTTCTAAGAATTCAAAAAATCTGGATAAAGTATAGGTAAGGACTCAGCATAAAGTGGCGTTTGTAAACGGGGGAAGAGAAGCTTCTGAGGGAAGGTTGGTGGTTTTCATACAGTGTGATGCCGACTTTGTCAAATCTGCTGTTTGGTTACACCGTAATTGAAGTACTATGTGTAATCAGGACCAGTAGGTAATAGAATGTAGGCACCTGCAATCTCACCGCCTTCCTCTACACGGTATCCTCCCGGTTATAATTTATATTCCTCTTTCTACAATTTTGAGTAGTTCGGCTAACATAACCGAGATAAAAGTTGAATGTATAACGGGTATCTACGTATTAATTTGATAATTCGTTTATTTTCAGATCCACGACGTAACATTGGTCTAGCTGGAATAAATAATTTTGATTTTTGAACACCTTCAGATCAGATCTGCCGTATAATTGAGTGCCAGCAGATGCAAGGGACAAAATTAACCAGCGTGGACCAGGCAATTGCTAGCAGAAATCGCAATATTACGGAAATATCGGCGTGCGACAACGCTTGAACGTATAGTAGTTATAGTTCTACTGCTGAACAGTAACAGTTCGCTCGTTGTTTATTTGTTCAGTTGAGTTGACAAAAACGCGCGCGTGGTGTGTACCTGCGAATGTGTGTAATGTAAGTGTTTAATGGTTTTTTTTGGTGGATTACGTGAATGGTAATCATATCCACTATACGCACATTGAAAACTGTCCAAGTATTTGAAAATTATTAGAAGAGTATCAGAAGAGGGAAAAACCTGAAACGACCGCAATGTGTAAATATCTTACAACAGACTAAACGAGCATAAATCTGGTAAGTTTTATATAGATTGTGTATTCCTTCTGAAATGATTAATATTATTGTGACATTAAGAGATTACAGGTTTTTATAAACCTGCATACCTAATGTGTTAGTGATAAACATGGAAAATACACCTTTTCTTTTGAATCTAATACTTTTACTGAGGTATATCACATTGTACAGTGTAATTTTTGCTTTAATAAGGTTTGAAGTAAAATCAAGTTCATTATTCATTTAATTAATTCAAAATCTTTGGTTAAAACAATTGCCAAACATCTTCATAAATAGTCAAACACTAAAAAACTGTCATGACAGATACAAGTGAATCTTTTGAAGGTTACAAATAATATAAAGTATGTAGTTGCGACATGTCCAATTGTTTATTTAGTTTTTGAAAAAGTAGTTTCCTTTTTTCATGATATTTTCAAGTATATGTGGTTATGTTTAGATGCTTCTGAAGAATTAATCTGCTTCAAACTTTTTACCCTTCATGTCACTTGAAATACGTTGCACCTAATAAAACTTTAAAATCTGTATCATATCCACATACAAATTTTATTTTATTTCTGAAAGTAAGTAGATAGTTTCTTTTTTCTTCCCTAATCTAAGCTTTATTTAAAATGATAGCCTGATTTAAGTATTACATTGAGATTTACAAATACATCTCACATTGAGATGTAAATGTATTACCATATAAAACATAAAATTTATTTCATATGATGGTCTATAACAGGGGTGGGCAAATATTTTGATAATCGGGCAACATTGCGGATGAAAATTTGACCTCGGGCCAAACAGGTTTTTTTTGTAATTTTAAGTATATTTTTTGCTAAGGATGTCAATTAATGAATTTTAAAACCAACAATGAGTTTGCCCGGCTCTGTACTATAGATATAAAAAGAAAATGTTATGCTTTCAGGAAATTTCTTTTGTCAGTTAAGTTTATTTTCGCAAAAAGCATGGCACCAATAAAAAATAAATCATATAGTAAGCAAGTCGATCAAACGTTACTTAGAATTGCAACAATAAGTTACAACGGGCAAAAAGCCGCTGTTTTTTTATAACTTTTGAGAAAATTAGTTCAGACTCTTCGAATTGAAAAATATGTTAAGCAAATACATCTGTTTCAGTTTCATTATTTCTTTAGTGTTTTACGATGCATGCACCTTCAGTAGATCTATATCTGCTTTTATTTCGTTCAATTTTCGGCGAATTTATTGCGGAAAGATATTTCTCCAAATTAAAATTAATATAATGTAACTTGCGTTCTACCATATCGCAGGAGAAAATGGCGGCTTTAGATTTAAGTTATTTTGTTTATTCATGCAATAATGTGATATAATAAGTATAATAACTAATAAAATTGTGCGACTATTATACATACTGTAATTGTTCAATTATCATAATTATATTTTCGAATAGGAGGCGCTGAAAAGAGCGGTTGTCCAAGAGAAAACTTTGGCTCCCACCGGCCCTGGTAATGTGTATAAGTATTGCTTAATATTTTATCTAAAATTTTTTATGCACCAATTTATGTTAGACAAAAACTAATATTTGTGTTTTTAATAATATATACAATATTCACGGGCCAGATAAAATTCTACCGGATTCGGCCCGCGGGCCGCCATTTGTCCAAGCCTGGTCTATAATTTAATCTTTCCTGAGTCATTCAATTGGGCACTTTTATCTGCCAACTACCGCAGACCAGTGGGGGTTTTAGTTGGGTTTGATCGCACTACAGAGGGCACAGTTTAATTACTGTTATTGTAACGAAGTCGTGAGGCAAAAATCAATCAAATATATATATATATTGTTGTATTGCTGTATAAATCCCTTTTATCATTTTCATTAGATAATTAATCCAATGGCAAACAGTAACCTCTTGTCTTTAACATCCATAAATAAGAAAACGATTAAACAATTACTTATGCAGGCGAATTGAATAATGACGATTAATAACACAGTCATATGTATCGAAAAAGAATTATTATGCAAATAGTAAGTTTTTAATGGACATATAATAAATAAAATATAGGTATGTTATTTTGAGGTTAGCTACGCCGGGATTCGTTTCAACAAGTAAATATCCACACAAATGCACCTTGTTGGAGCATACGTAATCCTAAAATGTAGCATCGTACTACAGATGGCGTTTATCGCGCCATTTGTGGTATTTTCTAAAACGCGCTGTTAAGGCAGCAGGTAAAAGTTAGTCTGTGTTCTGTCGGAGCTGTCTGTGACGCGCTGATGACATCCAAAAAGATCGAAATCGCGATCCGCGTCTGGCAGTTTCGACAGAATACAGACCACTTCGAATTATTTTATTCGTATGTTATTTTGATAAATATGCCAAAAAGTAAGAAATATCTGAATTTCTCTCTATTATGAAGTTATAGTTTTGCTTAGGGTCCTTTCCGCTTTATTTGTAGGGGTTTGTACTTATGCATGTATTGTTAATATTATCATACTACACCAAATGAAAATGCCTAGGTACCTAAAGCTATTTTTGATGACTGCTACCTTGAAAAAAACAATAACCTATAGCTTCAGCTCTCTTCAATTCCGAAACGCTACCTTCCTCACCCAATTACTTAGTTACGTCACAGTTTTTTCTCACTGTTATCGGGATATACATCAGCAGAACTGTACTCAAAATACTCCGCAAGTTTTTCAATTACTCTCTAAGTTCCACAATTACTCAATTAATTCGATATAACTAACAATAAGTACAACTGAAGAAAAATAAGACACTGATCTCACTAATCAAAACGGAATTACGTGTGATATAGTTTAATCCAAAATATAATTTATAAAAGTGTTCAAATGATGCATCTGTAGCGTTATGAGTGATATTTAGTGACATTAAAGCGGATTTGCTGATGTTCTGTCGTAAACCGTCATGGCTGTGCAGCTTCGTCTCATAACAGTATTTCTTGGCAGCGCAATTAAACTAGTGGAACACTCAAGGTCAAGGAAAAGATCATTATTACACTATTAGTGTAAAGTTCTGCAGCTTCTATCTCAATCGTAGCCTTCTCAAATGTTGTGCTCTAAGACATCAAAAATTTCCTGATTTTGAACCTAGTATAACCACTTTGGGTCCATCTTTTAATATGCTTACTTGTCCAAGAGTAGAATCTTATTTTTTGTTGCCATTTCTTCCCCAAAATTGTATTGTGGTTAATAGGAAATGAAGCTATAATGGGGCAAAGGTTTTTTATTTATACGAAACCGACAATCTACGTTTCGCCTCAATTACGAAGCATCTTTAGGGTTAGGTTTCTAAGTTACCTATAGGATATGAGAGCCCAAGGTTCCGGTGGTTTTGTCGTTGAACATAGTCCGATGAAACATGTATTTATGTGTGATAAATTAAAATAATGAATTAGAAAAATTAATTAAAATCACTTATAACACACAATGTATCTATAGATAAAATAATAAATAGTTAAAAATTAAAGTCACTTCAAATAACACAAGTATAGATAAAACAATAAATATCATAAATAACTAAAAGTCACGTGGTAACAAGGACGATGTACACAGTGATCCTTACCGTAACTTAGAAACATAACCCTAAAGATATTTCGTAATTAAGGCGANTCTCCAGTTATTCATTTGCTCCTGCTGTATTTTCAAATCTCTTAATTTTGTTTCCCTTTCCTTGTATGTATTTTTTCTGCCTATTTTTAGTTCAAATTTCTTTCGTATTTCCTTTCTTATACCTATTTTTCCTTTCTTATACCTATTTTTCCTGATGTATTCAATTTACCCTCACTATTAATCAACCTTTTTACTGTGTTTCTACCATTTTCTCACATTTTGTCTCACTTCTTATAGTGTGGTTATACCTTAGTTAAATAATAGAAATAATACAATCAACAATAAACATGCCATCTGCTAATAATTACGGTATATTTTTGTCACTAGGTCAACTCTGAACAATACTCGGTTTATAAATACAATAATTGATATTTAAATTTTTCTTTTGAAAAGCTGCTGAGCATTTTAACGTCGATTTTTATAATGTTCTACTGGAATTGATTAACTAAACCTTGAATGTATTATAATTAATAAAAGAACGATTTTTTATTATGCTAAAGGCCTTTACTACGTTCGAAAATTTTCTAAATAAAAACAGCATTATATAAGTTTATGTTACGTGGTTTCGATAAATACTGACCAAAAAGCAAAATGATATAATATCCCGTTGTGGCAGTATGTCGTCATCTACTGATATTAATGATTACTGAAATATTTCATTTTATACCAAGAAACAAGATATTTGTGCAATTGTTAATGTCAGTAGGTCCCATTTTTTTTAAAGCAATTTAACATTTTGACCATTTAGAGTAGACAAATAACTTTGGTTAGGTGACCGACGGTTAAATTTGCAAATTCGGCACAAATACTTTAATTTTTAGGATGTTACCGTATTGTTCAGTTCTTTTTGTTTAAGGTAAATCATTATCGAGTAAGACCTTTGGAGTGTGGATAACAATCTGATATATGTATCTATTAAAGTGGTCGATTATCAAACTAACAAATTACATCTAAAAAATCTACGTAGGCACCTATTTATTACCGGTACTATATTAATTTTTAATACTATCTTTAAGAAAGGCTATTGATCTCTTTGTACTACAAAATTAAGAAGTTTTGTTTATTCCTTCGCAACAATGTGTTAATATATACAGAGGAAGTGTACGTTACAGTTTTGTTTAGCTACGAACTCACGCTTTATAAATTCATAACGGCACTTCCTAAAGTTAGTAAAGTAAAGTGTTCTCCCTAATATTAAATTCATTCCTACCGAATCATTATGTATTAACAGGTTTCAGCTTTTGTTGTGTTGTTATATGTATCAGTCTTCATAACTTCATGCATAGTTATGTCCTAGATGCAGACATTGCATCACAACAAAATTATAGTTTTAATCACTCCTACTGATTCTTTAGTTGGAAACCTTTGGTAATATAGAGAAATTACCTATATATATATATATATATATA